TAACGTAATTTTCGGCACCAACAAGAAGCCTCTTAGATTAGAGGTGAGACGTATTCTTTTAGAAAATTCATGTCCAGTTGCCTAACAGAGTATATAAGTATAAGTATATTTTCAACTGTGTATTTACAGCACATATACATTTCATTCAAATGTAAGGAAAAGCATTTAAATTTCACACCATAATCCAGTTTCACGTTATTTAAGTAGAGTAGGCTGTGTATTTAATAACACATTTTCAAAGTCAACCTGTTTTTTTTTCTAAATTAGAAACTATTCTGCTTCTCAATGAGTTTTATGAATAAAATTAGTATGCCCTGCTTTTTCATGATTTAATTTTAAACATTGTTTAATAAAACACTTTTCATTTCTAACTTAATGTCTTCTCACTGCAAAGTATTAACATAATAATTTCCATGAAAGTAGTGAATACTGTATTTGCCGAAGTCACCCCGCAGTATAAGTCACACCAAACAAAAAATGCATAATGAAGAAGAAAAAAAAACATATAAGTCACTCCAGAGTAAGTGGCACCAGTCAGCTAGAGTGCCCTCTAGCAACTGTCAGTGTGAAAATAACGAACATGTAAATTTTCAAAAATACAGTATGTTAAATCAGCTGTATTTACCAAATTCACTGGCTGGACAGTTAGGTGGTAACCACATTGGTAACAGAGTAAATTACTGTACAGCTTCCAATCAGTTTAGATAAGAAATTGAAGTAAAGTAAACAAAGCTGTGTGTGTTTAACATCATTGTGTTGTGGAAAAAAGCCTGAAAACCGTCGGATTTCACACTGTTTAAATGTTCTGGACCAGACAGGGCTCTTTTTCAAGGCTATACAACCTCACAAATAAAACACTTTTGTTTCAAGATGCCTTCATCCAATTGGGTTAGGGTTCACACACGACTGACATAGATGTCTTTCCCACAATATAAATGTTTTGTATGTCGAGGTCAAGTAAGTAACTTTTGCTGGTGGTGCAGGAAAAAGCAGCAATTGCACTAAAACAAAGTCAACAAAACGTTCTCACACAGAGCCTCAGTGTTTATTATTCTGCTTCTTGCACAACAACTAACTGTCAGAGACACTTTACCACATTTACGCTTCAGTGTAGATGCTTAATCCAAGCGATTTAATCGAGAGGAAATTAACAGTGTGGGTGACTAAAGTGGGCAGGGGTTTGAGGTTTCAGGAAAATGCATTTTAAGCTACCTGATTTGTCAGAAACTGGAAGTTCAAGGTAAACACACAGCTCAGAGGAAGAGGATTTTCACTGACTAAAGAGACATGTTTGAGATAGCACTTCGTGTTGACCTGCAGGATTATGCCCGCTCAGAAAAGACCCACAGGGAAGCACAGGGAAAAAGTGATATGGTACTGTAACATGACTTGGTGTCAGAATAGTCAGAACAGAACAAGGCAAAGAAAACGCTCTTTATTGTTAGTGCATTGAAAGTGGAAAGAATATGAAATGATTTGTGTATTATTTTCAAGTTATGCTGGTTAAAGAAAAATAACTAAAATTACTCACTAACTAAATTATGCAAGTCACCGGGGAAATGAACACATCAGGGAGGCATGGACACAAATGTGATGACAACACACTGGTGAAACACATCAGAGATGGGCAGTGATCACAGATAGCACATAAAATAGTGTAAGAAAAAAAATCATGACTCATAATCACTTACTATAACTATAAGCTTATAAAAGACAAGTAAAAGTGTAGGATCAGAAGTCAAAACAGTTCTGTGCTACAGGTTAACAAATCTTAACTTGACCCATGAAAAATGACAGATGTGATTAATTTCATAACACCATGGCACTGAGGAACTAATTTCCAAAAAGGATATAAACTGCACCGTAGTATTAGCCACATGCTTTATTCGTAAAATACATTGTGGTATATGCCTTAAACCCAAGGAGGACAAACATTCTGGCTCACGGGCCAAACTAAGGTCCAAAAGTCAACCAGCAGTATTGGTTGGATATAGAATGTTGGGTGAAATAATATACCGTATTTTCACGACCATAAGGCGCATATAAACGACTTAGATTTTTTTCAAAATGTGCGGTGCGCCCTATGTGTGTGTTGTAAGGCGAACGTGATAGAGACCACCTTGAGGAGGACGTGGTAGAGAACATGAGAACGTTAAAGAGGGGATGTGTGGACGTGGATTGTGTATAAAAGAACAGGTATGTGCTTTATGCAGAACATTGCTGTTTTAACAACCCTGAAAATGGCAAAGAGACAGGCTTATGAAGCTCGCTTTAAACTGCAGGCTATCAGCTACGCCGAGGAACATGGGAATCGAGCGAGAGAATATAAAATAAACGAGTCGATGGTTCGCAAGTGGAGGAAGCTGGAGAACGAGCTCCGACAGGTGAAGAAGACTCAGCTGAGTTTCCGCGGACATAAGGCGAGGTGGCCGGAGTTGGAGGAAAGACTCGAGCTATGGATCGTCGAGCAAAGAGCGAGCGGGAGGAGCGTTTCGACTGTCACCATCCGACTCAAAGCAGTAACGCTAGCAGAGGAAATGAAAATTGAACATTTCCAAGGAGGTCCGTCTTGGTGCTGGCGTTTTATGAAACGGTGCCAT